GAGTGATCAGAAACAGAGTGATCAGAGACGGAGTGATCAGAGACAGAGTGATCAGAGACGGAGTGATCAGAGACGGAGTGATCAGAGACGGAGTGATCAGAGACAGAGTGACCAGAGACAGAGTGACCAGAGACGGAGTGACCAGAGACAGAGTGACCAGAGACGGAGTGACCAGAGAAATGAATGATTCCTGCAGGAACAGAAGAATCACCTCAAGCTTCAGGGTCACATGATCACCTTGTTACTAGTTCTGGAAGTTGCAGCTCATTTAAAGAAACATTTTATTGTTGTTACATTTATGTTCAATAGATCTTGAGATTTTATTTTATTTTGGGAAACTGCACCTGCACTTTTAGCTTTTGTGGTGGATTTATTGATCTGTATTTTGTGCAGACTTTTTCAATCTAAATAACAGAATGATCTTTTTATTTTTTATACTTTGAGACTGAATACTTTACTAAAAGTAATTTCAGTGAAATGAACCCTTGTTTTAGTTTTTACATAATACTGCAGAGCAACATGTTAGTTTTGTCAAATGAATGAGTTCTGTTTTTTTTATATCACAAAATTTATTGTTGTTGTCAGAATGATCTGAAATCACGATATTATATTTGAGCCCCCCCAACAGGATCTGTTTCTGAAAAAGAACCCAGTTTAACTTCCAGTTTCTTTACTGGGTTTTCCATGTGAAGCTTAAAAGAGACGTGAGTGAGCAAGATGAACTGCTGGGACCGACTTGGTGTGTGACCCAGCCTCCAACAGCATCCTTCTCCTTCAAGGTGTTCTCTACAACACCAGCAGGTGGACTTTCATAATCTGAAGACAAAATCTGCACAACACAGACGCGCTAGCTCAGATGCTACACACTTGGTTTCTCACACCCGCCCGCCAGTCCACAACGCCACTAACGTAGCAGTACACGCAACACAGACGTGTCCCCCCTCCAAGAGAAGAGCACCTGCTAAGCCAAGTGTCCGAGGAGGGACGCCGTTTCTTTAAGGGAAATGATGCCATCCACCACACCGCTGCCACCCCCCCCCCCCCCCCCCAACAAAAACTCTTTGCTCTGGACGAGTCACGTAAATTATATTTTAGTTTGAAATCAGCAAATTTCACCAAAAACTGACAAGTTTGCAGGTGAATGAGGGACTCGAGTATAAAATGTTAGTGGTTAACACTGAGGTCTGTTTTATTTAGAGGTTAAAACACTGCGGTGGAATCTTTGTGAACTTTTATACATTTAGAATTACTTGTCTGTGTGATCAGAATCAGAATGCCTTTATTGTCATTATTGTCATTATACGCAGTACAATGAAATTAAGAGCCACTCCTTTTTCCAGTGCAAAAACACGCCTTAAGAAAACACACATTAAACACACTAAAAATATAAAAAATGTAACGCAATATAGATATAATAATGAAAGTAAAAAAATACAAGTATTACACAATTGTATTGGTGTAATATTGCATAATATAAATTGGTGATGGACTGGAGACCTGTCCACGTGTCCCCCGCCTCTCGCAGTGACAGCTGGATTTGGGCACCAGTGACCCAAATAGGAAGAAGTGGGTAATGACCGTCGCCTTCATGCTTGTTCAACATGAGAGTTCAGTGATGGAGTTAAACTCAGAGCTGCTCCTCACATAAATAATGTTCAATTATTATTTTATACATGAATGTTTCTGTTCAGTTATTATTTTATAGATGAATGTTTCTGTTTAATTATTATTTTATACATGAATGTTTCTGTTCAATTATTATTTTATACATGAATGTTTCTGTTCAATTATTATTTTATACATGAATGTTTGTTAAATTATTATTTTATAGATGAATGTTTCTGTTAAATTATTATTTTATACATGAATGTTTCTGTTCAATTATTATTTTATACATGAATGTTTCTGTTCAGTTATTATTTTATACATGAATGTTTCTGTTCAATTATTATTTTATACATGAATGTTTCTGTTAAATTATTATTTTATACATGAATGTTTCTGTTCAGTTATTATTTTATACACGAATGTTTGTGTTCAATTATTATTTTATACATGAATGTTTCTGTTAAATTATTATTTTATATTTGAATGTTTCTGTTAAATTATTATTTTATACATGAATGTTTCTGTTTAGTTATTATTTTATACATGAATGTTTCTGTTAAATTATTATTTTATACATGAATGTTTGTTAAATTATTATTTTATACATGAATGTTTCTGTTTAGTTATTATTTTATAGATGAATGTTTGTTAAATTATTATTTTATACATGAATGTTTGTTAAATTATTATTTTATACATGAATGTTTGTGTTCAGTCCCTGAGACGACTCTGTTGAGACTCGGCGCTTTAGAATAAACTGAACTGCATTAAAACCCAGTCCTGCCAGTGACACTGAGCAGCTGGATCCAGATGTTCTTACCTGAGAGATCCCAGACTCGAACTCATCTGGCTTCTCGCCATTGGGCTTGACGATCTTGGCGCTGGTACTGAACATGGCCCGTGTCTCTGTGAACAGATGACAAAGGTTACGAAGCTGGTTCAAGTCTTCAGACTGGACTTAGTTCTGGACGAACCGCTTCCAGCTGAACTAGCAGGTGGACCGGACCTGGATTAGTGAGCACGTCCTGGTGCATGCTGAACAACCGCCAACACACACCTGGAGCCGGCTGCACCACTGAACCTTACAAGGGTCAGACCCTGGCCCAGGCTCGGACTACATTATCTCAGGTCCGAGGCCCTGACGTGTCTGAGCCGCAGTGATGAGCTCGGTCCGGGTCGTCCTGTGGAAGCAGCAGCTTCAGTGGAGACACCATCCTCCTCCACCAGCGGCTAGCTAACCAGCTAAAGCTACCGCCAAACCTTCTGCCAACACGCTTCAAATACCGACAACAAACCGCCATCCGCTACAAAACTCTACATAATCTAAGGTATCAAGGTCTAAACATAATCATCTCACTACTAACTTGACAATTAAACGACTATAAATGACTTTTGTCTTCATAAAATGACGGCCTGTGTAACACTGCACGACATACCTCTGCGAACGACGGCCAAGGAAGAGACCGGATTATCGCGAGAGCTGAATTAATCCAATCAGAGCACGGTTTTTTATCGCGAGCGTTGGCGAACAAGGAAATCTCGCGAGAGTTTGATAAAAAGGAGGCTGTTTGCAATGTCTTAGCGGTTGGTAAACCGTCTGTCAACTGTTTACTCTTGTTTTCGGTTTACTGTTTTGTAATAGCGCTTTGTAAATTTACTTACAGTGTCCGTTTCGTCTTTCCGGCAGGCCACGGGCTCCGCGCAGCCGTCTTTTCCGTTTTCACCGGTAGGACCCACCATGACGTCAGGCCCCGGCCGGTGATGTTCGTCCGGTTTTCTGCTGGTTTCATCCGAACCAGGAGCCCCTGGAGCAACATGCCGAAGGGCAAGTTTTATTACGCTGTCAGGAAGGGATTCAAACCAGGCGTCTACACATCATGGTGGGTCAGAAGCCAGCTGGGCAGCTGTGGTTGTAGTAAATGAATTCAAGCTTTATTTGTACAGGGTGGCCCACTGAGCCCGGACTGAAACCGACACCGGGTTAACCGAGGGATGACGTCACAGGACGACCATAGAGCGTGCGTTCAGTTAATATTTTTAAACAAGTGAAAATAAAATGGTAGTTAAGGAAAAGTAGCGACAAAACAGCTACGTTGTAAAACACCATAGAAAACTAAAACCAGGAACATCTGCAGAAACTTACCAGATGTTTGAAGACACTTAGAGAGGTCAAAGGTCGAGAGCTTCAGATCTTTTTACAAGATGTTCCAGGAAACAGGAGCGGAGTAGGAGAAGGTCCTTTTGTCTAGTTCAGTCCTCACTGAGGGAACACTGCAGGTAATGATGTCCTGAGAGCGCACGCTGTAGCTGCACTCACACAGAGACATGTAGGAGGAGATGTATGAAGGCAGCAGACCAGGAAGTGATTTAAAGATGAAAATGTACCAGTGGGAGAGTCTGCGTGAAGTTAATGGTGACCAGTTAACCAGTGGATACTGGGTGCAGTGGTGGGTACGGTAGTTACAGCCAGTTCTGAATCTTAGTGCACCATGATAGACAGCATCCAACATCTGCAGCATCCAACATCTGCAGCATCCAACATCTGCAGCATCCAACATCTGCAGCATCCAACATCTGCAGGGTTCTTGTAGGAGCGTTCATGTAAATGATGTCACGTAATCAATGGAGGGAAGTCACAGATACAAGGTGTTTCCTAACATTCAGGGTTACAGGATGTTAAAAAGTGCTATATAAATAAACTTTGGCTTTTCATCTTTGGGGCGGCTGAGGCTCACTTGTTCGAGCAGTCGCCCTCCAATGCAAGAGTTGGGGGTTAAATTCCACCTGCAGTCCCATGCTGAAGTGTCGCTGGGCAAGACAGTGACCCCGTCGTTGTGCGTCCCATCGGTGCGTGAATATGATCTAAAGCTCTCGTCTTGTAGAGTTCTGTCTGAACGGGTGAATGAGGCACAGATTGCTGTAAAGATCCTTGAGTGTGTTACAAGATAGAAAGCTGTAAATACTGCAGGTACCATCTTTATGAAGTTTATCTGGGCAGGTTCAGTCCACAGGACCTGACTGAACCTGCTCAGATTTATCTACCTGGATTACTGAGCATGCTTCAGGACATTAAACCAAAAGTAGACTCTAACATGACACTTCATTACATGCTCCTGTTTGTAGTATTCTAAATCACTTTACAACCTAGCTGTTTTTATTTTGTTTCTTAGATACCGTTTTCTTTTATTTGTTCTTCTCAATTTGTTTGCTTTTTATGATTGTCCACTGTTGTCATCCCTTTGTTAAATCAGCTCTGTCTTGTAAAAGAACGCTGAGGCTCAGTGGAACTAAGCTGCAGAAATAAAGGTTGAATGAGTGAGCATCAAGCTGAACTGAATATTTAGCTGCTGCAGCTCTGAGAAAGTGTGGTCCAGTCCATGATGGTCGTTCTGCTGTGTTCATCAGGGATGACTGTAAGAGTCAAGTGGATAAATATCCAGCTGCATCCTTCAAGAAGTTTGGATCAGAACCAGATGCTTGGGCATTTGTCAGAGGTGAAGCTCCGTGTGCAGTTCCAGGTGACACCACAGGTAAGATGGTCTGGATCGACATTATTCCAGCTGAGAATTAAACCGATCCTGATCTGAAATACCTCCTGTCAAGCCTCAGCTGAACAAAACACCTGACTATCCTGATGCATGCTCAAGAATCCAGGTAGAAAAATCCAAAAAAGTTCAATCTGGTCCTCTGGACATTCAAAAAACAATAAAACAAAAAACAAAACAACACAAAATAAAAGTAGAAACATTTAGTCTCTCATCCTGAGGACTTCCTCAGTCTGAGGTGCTGTATTCAGCTCAGTCTCTTAAATAGCACCTTCTCAGAGTGGATCAACCAGTTT